ATATTGAAAGAGAGATACGTTGCGGAGAGAGAGAGAGGGGGGGGGGATGTTTATATGGTGGCACGTTTCTGGAGTCGATTCAATTTTTTAGCCGTACCTCGACGATTGTAACTTGGAAATGTCTCTTCTAGGTGGTGTGCGATTGTCTGTTACGTCGACGTTGCAACTGGTGTTTGGTTTATAGAATGTTTCGCTGTTTGTTTCAGCTGTTGGGCGAACGTACGGTGGTTGGAAAATGTTTGCGAATGATTGGGACATTTTTTTGCTGTTTAACCCTTTCGCTGCGAAAGGAGTACATTTCCATTCGTAAGAACTGTGAAACAAATAGTCGTGAAATTATTGAGATCCAAGGAAAGTATATTTTTATCAATGTATCGTCACCTTGATACTGTGACAGTCTGAAAAATCGAAGTTCAGTAATTAAATTTCACTTTCTTTCGATGCACTTCCTTCCTTATTTTCGTAAATTGCAATTTTCTTGAGAAGTGTATTAGAGTCCTTCCTTATTTTCGTAAATTGAAATTTTCTTGAGAAGTGTATTAGAAGTCACATCTTCCTGCAATTATGCTATGCTAAAAGTGGACCAGTTAAAAAAAAATACCTAGCGACTAAGAGATTGGAACACACTGTGAATTAAATTTGAACAGTCATTACAAAATTCTTAAGATCCCGAAAATGTTCATTTTTATTGTTATATCGTCACCTTAATACTATGACAATCTAAAAAAATCGACATTCGGTAATTAAATTTCACTTTCTTTCGGTGCACTTCCTTCCTTATTTTCGTAAATTGAAATTTTCTTGAGAAGTGTATTAGAAGTCACATCTTCCTGCAATTATGCTATGCTAAAAGTGGACCAGTTAAAAAAAAAATACCTAGCGACTAAGAGATTGGAACACACTGTGAACTAAATTTGAACAGTCATTACAAAATTATTAAGATCCCGAAAATGTTCATTTTTATTGTTATATCGTCACCTTAATACTATGACAATCTAAAAAATCGACATTCGGTGCACTTCCTTCCCTATTTTCGTAACTTAAAATTGTCTAAATAAGCGTATTAAAAGTCACATTTTCCTTACAACTATGCTACGTTAAAAGTGGGCAAGTTTAAAAAAAATACGAAAATCGACATTCAATAATCAAATTCCACTTGCTTTCGTTGCACTTCCTTCCTCATTTTCGTAACCCAACATTTTCTGAATAAAAATACCAAAAATCATATTTCCAAAAAAAAAAAAGAATACCCGATGACTGAAGTCAGACAACTCCAGAATGCGGCAAACATTTGCCTACCACGAAACCCTTAATTTTCAACGATACGTCAACAACCGTTTCATCCAGCACAGCGTGCGGCAGCGAAAGGGTTAAGAATAATTGTAAACGATTAAGATACCGTCGCGTTGGATTTACACGAAAGAACTCTGAACCAAGAGGAATGTGTCGAAAAAGTTGACGCAGCTTCTACCGGATCGTTCGCATTTTCACCTCCGCCGGATAATGACCCGTGCACGCACACAATTACGCGCAATTTGTCGCACTTATCGAAGCGCACATCGTGAACGGCCGGTACGTGCGCGCAGCTCTCTTTCGTGAGCACCGGTTCACCGTCGCGAGTTTGCACTTTGCATACGATATTTCAAGGTCGTGGAATTTTTAACTCCCGCCACGAGAGAAGCACCGTCGATCGATCTTCCTTCGCTCTCCTGAAATTCCTTCCGCTTATTTTTACCTCGCTTTGAGTGACACCTTTCACTTCGACCGAATTAAAAAAACCAATAAATACGACATACAGCTGCATCGCCGATGATAAAACAGTCTTTTAAAATTGATATTTTCATCGAGGTGTATTTCGAAACTTTTCAAAATTTCCATCTGTGTATACAGTTAATAATTTTCTCGTCGAGATTAAATTCATTCTATGTGGATTTCTCTAAAAATATCGAAAAAGTAGCTGAGACTGTGCTCTAAAGATTCTGGACCAATTTTCGTCCGACCTGAACTTCCCGAAATTCACCTCCCGCTTTGAGTGACACCTTTCACTTCAACCAAATTAAAAATGAAACAATAAATAGGCTATACAGCTGCATCGACGATGATAAAACGGTCTTTTAAAATTGATATTGTAGTATCGGGGCCTCCATACCCAAATAGGAAACTTCTAAGGGAAAGTAGAGAGGGAGTAGTTGGCGTAGTGCGCAAAGCCTCGGCTTGCTAAGCCGAAGGTCCCGGGTTCGATTCCCGTTGGGTCCCTAAAAATTTTTCCGTCGATTATTACAATATTTTCATCGAAGTATATTTCTAAACGTTTCAAAACTTCCATCTGTGTATAGAATAACAATTTTCTCTTCGAGATTAAATTCACTGTACAGATTTCTCTAAAAATGCCGAACAGGTGCTCCAAAGATTCTGGACCAATTTTCATGGAACCTAAAGAACTTCCGAAAATTCACATTTCCACGCAAGTATTACCTTGACGAGTGGACGGTGTTCTCGGGCCACCATTCGGTTCTCGCCTGGTTAAATTATTCAAAAGATCGGAATCTTAAGGGTGAGCTGCTGAATTATTAATTTATAGGCGTTATTGAGTGCGTGTGGAGGCTATCTCGATACCGGTACGCATTAGTCAAACGTGTGTGTTCGGGGGCTGTTGTTGCGGCGTGTTTCGATCAAGAGTAGTGACCGTGGTCGATTCACCGCTTTCGTATTGTTAATATCTTTGTAAAAGCGAAGGAACAGCTAAAGGTGGCAGCTGTTTCCTGACCAACGGAGGAAAAGCTGTCCCTCTCTCACCTGCTTGCCCTCAGCCGCGCGATACTAATTGCCAGATAACGTCCATGGCGATGTTTCCTTTTCGCTGCGACACGATTTCGTGTACCATCGATTCCACTCTACGCGCCATTTCACTTACAAACACACACACACACACACACACACACATTGTTGCGTGGGTATATTCTTCCATGGTTACACACTCTTTTATCTTTAGACTTGTATGCAAGTTACATGTATGTGTATGTATGTAGAGTGAATAGGGGAACGAAGACGTTCGCGGTACCGTATCGTTTGCATCGTAATTGCGTGTCGCCCGCGTATCGGTACACGCTGATCCTCGGGACAAGGAAAAACGTGTTATTAGAGCACGATGAGGGATTACATTGTCACGGGGACGAGTGGTGTAATCCTACGTAGCCGGACGCGATAGTAGGTACCTTTTGTTCGAGCCACTTCTTTTTTTTTTTTTTTATTCTCTCCTCTTTGGTATTAATGAGATGTATCTGACGAATGGCAGGGGTTAATCGTCGCTGTTTATGATCCTTTTGTTGTCACGTCACGTTGCTGGATAGCGCATGATTGCGAAATGCAATATGTAGGATATGGAGGACGTGTTAACCCGCGTAGGATTTTTTAATCGCTGCGTTAGCCTGGATTATTCGTTGTTTTAATAGAGAGTTAGCGTTGTATGAGAAGGATAATTACGGTTGATTGCGATCACCTCGTTTCCCATTTCTAAGTGCAACAATGAATTGTAGGATACAAGAACTGAGAATTCAGTATTCAAACGAATACATTCGTATGTGTTCAATAGGCGAAGAAGTGGACCCACGTCCTTTTTTCTCTCGACTTCAATTTGGAGCTGTTGCGAAAATTCGAATATTCGGTGTATTCGAATGTTCGAATACCGATAGAATTCGGTTTTCAACTTCGAAATGTGTGAAGTATTCGACGCAATCCGAAATTCAACACTTCGAATATTCGAATTATCCGAGTAAAGTATTGGTATTCGAATTATCGGAATTATTCGAAGTATCCGAACTATTCGAATTATCTGAATTATCCAAATTACTCACATTACTTGAATTATTCTCTATTATCCGAATAAAGTATTGGTATTCGAATTATTCGAAGTATCCGAACTATTCGAATTATCTGAATTATTCGCATTATCCGGATTGTTCACATTACTTGAATTATTCTCTATTATCCGAATAAAGTATTGGTATTCGAATTATCCGAATTATTCAAAGTATCCGAACTATTCGAATTATCTGAATTATCCAAATTACTCACATTACTTGAATTATTCTCTATTATCCGAATAAAGTATTGGTATTTGAATTATCCGAAAAATTCGAAGTATCCGAACTATTCGAATTATCCGAATTACTCACATTACTTGAATTATTCGAATGATCCGAATAAAGTATTGGCATTCGAATTAGCCGACTAAAGTGTTGGTATTCGAATTATCCGAATAAAGAATTCCTATTCGAATTACCCGTATAAAGACCTGGTACTCAAAATCATCCAAATGATTCGAACAGTTCAACTATTCGAAGGTTTACAACGCGAATTCTACCTCCGTGCTAAAACGAATCGTGGCACAGTTCTCCATGGACCACATCGCGTTTCAGGAGAAAACCCGTGCAAGAAAGCGACTTCTACGGGATGTACACGAGATGTTGGTTCTCGGTACTCGCGATGCTGTGAGGTAACGGTGCAGGTCCGTCGTCGAAACCGCACAGCGGCGAGTACGGAAAGTTCATGCGTATGTACTTACATACGCCGATCTATCCCGTCGCACGCAACGTTCGTTTTTCGTCGCATCGCGTTTCAATCTCCTCGTGGTTCGTGCACGCACAACCGGAGATAATATTGTTCCGTGTCGCGGAAACGCGAATTTCGCACGCTCGCTCCTACCAGTGATATTCATAATGTGACGCCATTTATTCATCATTGTCTCCGCGTTTCCTCCTCCTCTGTCGTTTTTCCAACATTTCCATCGTTCACGGGGCGGGGAAAGAAATAATTGCACGGCGATAACGCATCAATGGAGAAACGATTTTTCCCGTAACTCGCGTTGCGTGTGCCGTTGTAGTTTTCCTTCGTTTCAGACACTAAGTCGATCCTCGTTGCGTGATCTCGTTCTCGTGGAAAAACTTTGTCATGGTTATCCTGTGTTAAGGTTTCTTTTCTTAATTCGAATTTTTGCACAGGGATACACGCCTCTGCATATAGCGATGCAGTTCGATCACGAGAACATCTTCAATCTGTTGGTCCAGGTGTACGGTGAGTTGTCGGCATCGTTTTCAATGTAATTCCATTATTTATACGCTTCTGGTAATTTGGTATTTGAGTAAATTTCTGCTGTTCAGAGTTGACACCGTTGGATAGATCGATTTGCCCACTGATCGAATAGATTCATCTCTTTTTGAAGATTTTAAATCATTTTTCATAGCTACTCGGTAATTCTTTCAGTAGGCAGTGTCGCGCACCCGCGAGAAAAGTGTCACAAGTGGAAAATTTTCTATTTTATTGCTCGCAATAGATTCTAATACAAAAATTCACCGTCAGAAGTTGAACTGTAATAATTGAGCTGAATAAATTTTATCTGACGCATGTGTCACGATGTCAATTTAACTGTAATTAACCCTTTTAATCTCACGAGCCGATTTAGACCAATTCTAGTCACCTCGGGGAATTTATCCAGCCGATGTCCTTAATACAGAAAATTTCATCTAAATATCTCAAAAACTGTAGCCTTTAGAATTTTTTCTCTTCTTTCTCCCTTAGCAATTTAGAGTAATTAAATTTCCCCACCTAATTTTCAAAACTGGAAATTTTCTTTTCGCTCTCCCGAAAAGCTTCCATATTTTCAGCACGTGACACTTCTCTCGCGGATGTGGCGATATATATTACAAAAACTAGAGTATTCCCATTTATTTACTGTGAAAGAGAAAAACGGAGGTAAGTCAAGATCGAAGAATAGCGACCAGTATCGTAGTCCCCCACTTAAATTCCCATGTCGACCGATAAATATGAAGAAGAAACAAACTATTCCCCGTCGTATCCCCCTACATTCTCTCTCACACGCGGTTTCCAGGTGCGAACCAAGAGATACGCGACTACAGCGGGAAGAAGGCGAGACAATACCTGGTCTCTCAGGAGGCCGCCGTCAGTCAGGACACCTTCCGCAGTAAGTACCGCGCTGTGCTCATCAAACGAAACCCTAAGAGAAAGAAACAAGATAAATACATTTTATTAGCCGCGTAAAAAGGCAATAATCGACTCGTAAATGTAAAACACTATCGGGGCGCACGATCGAGCGAGATCTTATCGTCGAGGCACCGCGTAAATGAGACGCGTCCAAGTTTCATAATCTTCAGCGCAAAAGGAAGCAAACCTTCGCGAATCGTTTAAGCAAATCGCCAACAATAAATTACTCCCTATCTCTCTGTGTATTATTTTTTCTTCTTCTTTTTCTCTGTAATTTCTCATTGAAACACTTTATGTTTCTCCTTTTACGCGCGATCAATTATCTCCTCGATAGGATCGATGGATTTATTAATTTCTCGATAATAGCCTTCTGCCTGGGGAAATATATCGTAATGAAATAGAGACGCGTTAGATTGAATCTTACTTGCGAATAGTTTATAATTCTTGTCGTCGGAATGTTGGCGATTGAAGTTAGGCAACGTTAAGAGGCGAACACTCAGCCGCGAAAGAGGGGAAAGTGTGTTCTCTGCACTGTGCATTGTTCTCCCTCGGTAACGAGAGGATTCCCCTCTGTCGTACGGATTGTATTTTAAAAAGCGCCGCGTTCTTGCCGATTTAATTAAATCGTTCTCGTTATATAAATCGCTCGGGCGATCGTACGCCTGCGGGCCTGAAAAATACGAGATCGTGTGTAACTTGTCTACCGCGGTAATGAGCTTTTTGTTGTTCGAGAGTTATTGCGGAATTGATGAATAACTAATTCCGAGCAGACCTTAGAAGGCCTTCTTTCACCGTCTCTACTTATTGCTCCGTGTATATTCAGTTTTAGATTTTAATTAGCATTCGGCTTTAACCCTTTCGCGAACAGCGAGACATTAACAGTTTACCGACGTGACCATCGGTAGATAAATAAAAATGACAATAATTCTGTTACGAAAGGGTTGAAGAAAGAATTCAAGATTTACGTTCGTTGTCTGTAAAGAAGGTCTTTCTACGATCTCAACTTACTCCCGAGTGTATTAAATTTGGAATTTTAGTTGCAATTCTTTTTTAACCCTTTCGCGAATAGCGAGACGCGTATTCACTCGAGCACTCGAAGAAATTAAAAATTAATCACATTTACCGACGTGACCATCGGTAGATAAATAAAAATGACAATAATTCTGTTACGAAAGGGTTGAATAAAGAATTCAAGATTTACGTTCATAGTCTGCAAAGAAGGTCTTTCTACGATCTCAACTTACTCCCGAGTGTATTAAATTTGGAATTTTAGTTGCAATTCTTTTTTAACCCTTTCGCGAATAGCGAGACGCGTATTCACTCGAGCACTCGAAGAAATTAAAAATTAATCACATTTACCGACGTGACCATCGGTAGATAAATAAAAATGACAATAATTCTGTTACGAAAGGGTTGAATAAAAAATTCAAGATTTACGTTCATAGTCTGTAAAAAAGGTCTTTCTACAATCTCAACTTACTCCCGAGTGTATTAAATTTGGAATTTTAGTTGCAATTCTTTTTTAACCCTTTCGCGAATAGCGAGACGCGTATTCACTCGAGCACTCGGAGAAATAAAAAATTAATCACATTTACCGACGTGACCATCGGTAAATGAATAAAAATGACAATAATTCTATTATGAAAGGGTTAAAGAAGGAATTCGAGATTTATGTTCATAGTCTGTAAAAGTCTTCTTACGATCTCAGTTTATTCCCTAATGTATTAAACTTGGAATTTTAATTGCAAAACTTTCAACCCTTTCGCGAATAGAAAAATTGACAATTGATCACATTTACTGACTGTCGGCAAACAATTCTATCACGAAAGGGTTAAAGAAGGAAGTCGAGATTTATGTAGTCTGTAAAGGTCTTCTTACGATCTCAACTTATTCCCTAATGTATTAAACTTGGAATTTCAATTGCAATTTTCTCAACCCTTTCGCAACCACATTAGAACTCCACCAAAAATTGATCACGATCTATCAATTACAGACACGACGATCTATAAATAGCAATAATCTATTCGCGAAAGGGTTAAAAAACAATTCACAGCCCGCGCTAAATTTCGAACTCGCAATCATAGCAAAAGGTAACACCTACGATCCCTAAACTCGCAGAAATTAGACAAACAGTTACGCCAAATAGATTAAACATTAAACGATACACCACGTAAGAAGGAATTTTCCCTCGAACGATTAAAAAATCTGCCGCGGCTTCGTCGAATGAATGAACTTAATAAACGAACTCGACGTATCCGTGGAAGGAAACACGGTACGTTAAATAAATCTAACGAATGCTCAATCGTCGCGACAGAGCAATTACAGGTTACCGCACCAGGTACACCGCAGTTTGCACCGCTTTCATACGCTTCGTTCTGGTTCAGCCTCGCCTCGCCTCGCCTAGCCACGTCTTCTCGCCTTCTATTTTCACTATCAGCTTTCTTTTGATCGCGCGCATGTCCGTCCTGGGAGAGGAACTCGCCTGCCGTGTCTCGGTGCCGTTTTCTCGCTTCCTAGTTTCCATACTTTTCCACTGGGGAGAGCCAGCATGCTGTCGGGACTAATCTACATGAGGCATTAACTTGTTTTGCGAGCATCGACGACACCTCGCCACGATCCTTCCCCCCGTTCCTGCTCCTCCCCGTTTTTCCCCCCTTTGATCGACAACTAAATTCACCAAGGTTCGTTTCCATTCTTGGTCGGGCGAGAAATCTCCGTGTATCTTCGGCGGTTCGAGAAGCGTCCGTGGTGAATAATTAACACGTTCGAGCAGTTTATACGACTTTTCCTCTGATCAACATTCACTTCTATCGTGTATTACACTCGAGCTTTTACTCAGACGGATTTATCGAACTGCGGGGAGATCTGAGAACGAGTGTTGACAAATTTATCGAGATTTGAGAACGGTGTTTGTGAGGAGGAACTTTTGCGCTCCTTTTTAGAGTTCCGGGTGCGAACGGTGCATACCGGGTGTACTAAAGATGTTGGGATACATTTGGCGACTGTAGGTGGAAATAAGACAAAAATTTCTGTGAATGTTTTCTTGTGACGTAACGAAAGTATGAAACGTGGGGGATGTGACAATACCTCTATAATTTTATTTCTATATTTCTATAATGCTATTTATACATTACTATGATATTTCTCTTAGATCAATGCAAGTGTGTGCTCAAAATTGAGAGAATGCACATTTCACAATTGCAATATTGCATTTGGACAAAATTCCAAAATGCAAATATACTTTCCACGTTTATTTCACCTTTCATTCTTCTGTTAAACCCTTTAACAAAGCATTTATAGACTTTTCGTTTTTTTTTTTTTTCGTTAACCACACCGCCAAAGTTTGTACGAGAAGCTTTAGAACACCCAGTATACACTCTCTCGCGTATATATCGATATACGTAGCTTTTAAAAAACGCTCCCAAAAAATCGCCGATCCAAAAAGGGTAAAATACCTCATTCCACCCATTCACGAGGTACATATTAGGTTGTCCGGAAATAAATTGCGATTTCTGTACATGAGATTTAACCCTTTAATCTACAACAACATGTCAGACTCGCGGCAGAGAAAGCAGTTATATTAATAAGAAAAATTAATTGTAATCCTAATTTTCGTTTTAACTTGTAAGACTAAGGATTCCTAAACGTTACCTGATACAGTACTAAAACATTAAATGGCTGACGCTTAGATGCATAGTCGGAAAAGAAATCATAGGTTAAGGGGTTAAAGACGCGTGGTTTTGCTTAGAATAAATTTATTTCACCGAAATAATTTCCATTAGATTCTGTACACTTTTTCCAACGTTTCGCAAGAGTTTCTATTCCGTTGCAATAAAAATCAGGAGTTCTAGAATGAATAAATTCCACGAAGGTGTTTACAGCATCCTCTTTATTGCGGAAGATTCTTTCTCGCAAAAAGTTGTCGAAATGTTTTAAAAAATGGCACTCTGTAGGGTGTTTTAATGTTTCATAACCCAATTCGTGCATCTTCCGAATCGTGAAGGGGTATTGGTCCCTTACGATTTACCAAACTTGCTTGTTTAACCGAATACATTGCGGCCAGTTTCCGCGGCTTTACGCCCTAATTTAAATTCGTATAAAAACATGGCACGAATTTGCTTCTTGTCCATTGTTACGTTTTTAAGTTGTACTCGGAACAAACGTCGGTAAAAAACAAAAGTGTACCGCGACGTCTACGCGTTCAAATGGTATATTACTTGATGAACGTGAATTTAAAATACGTAGTGTGGAAAAGCCCTAAATATGGCATAACAGAAAACCGCAATTTATTTCCGGACAACCTGATACATCGCTTAACTTACTCCATCAAACTAAAAAGAATCCTCCCATCTGCTCGAAACCTTCATTCACGCAGGATCACCTTCCAGAATTCATCTCGATCGTCTCTCCCGTCCCGTACCCAATATTCGGACGTGTGGTATAATAAATTTCAAAAAAAAAAAAAAAAAAAAAAAAACAAATCGATCTTCCTCTTCTTTCTGAGAGAAAAACAAAACAAGGTGTACAGGTATTCCCGTGTGGCGACCACGCGATCGAAATAGGCAACAGGAAAATGGTGTTTCGGGCCTCTCTTCCTCCTCTGTCCTCTGTTCTCGGTGAGTATCGGGGCTCTGGAAGTATTCTTCTGTTGTAGGGATTACTGCTGCCGCTACGCTCAGGCAAGTTCAGAAGCACACCTCTGCTAAAGTAGTAAAGCGCTTGTGTCGCAAGATTAAAGTAGCCGCACCTTAGAGTAACGTATGACTGTCACTTTTGTCGACGCTGACGTGAGTATTGCGTGGAGAATCCGCGGGTCCACTTCGTATTTCTCTCTTTCCTGCACATCCTCGGCAGAGAATCCTTCGATCTCTCTCGATCGTGTGTGTAGAAGAAACAAATTGTCACTTGCTTCTTGATATTCCTCCGATTATATTGTACGCGTTTTGTTTTTATTATATTGAAAATTTCCTAGTTATATCGGCGACAGTCGAACGATGGACCCGTTCATTCCCGATATATTCCAAAGGAATTTGTGTACGTCCAGTACTCGTGAATTCTTCGCTTCAGCCTTAACGAACCGCACAACTTCGGCACTCTTCTGACCTTCTCACGCTTAACCCTTTCGTTACGGCGGAATTGGTCGCCGATACGCCGCTGAACGAGACCCTTTGCCGTGAGTTTGCGTTTATCGGGACTCTCGGTCAGCTGTTTTCCGCGTTTGATATTTTGTTTTAGAGAGAAATAGATTTTCATTTAACGCAGATCGTTCGTGACAGTGATGTGGTGATAAGTTTCAACCCTTTCATTGCTGCTGGCGCTTAAAAATTGGCACCTACTGTGTTACCGACGCTTTTTGGCGCATCTTTGTCCTAATTTAATTCTCACTTCTACTTTCGCGCATTTTATAAACTTTCGAACGATATGGAAAGAAAAAATTTTGCGCACTAAAATCGGCCGCACCGAAAGGGTTAATCGACACTTTTCCAAAGTGAATGCATCCCGTCTCGATATGCGAGGGCTGTGCTACATCGAGCGTACACATACGCCCGTAGTATACCAAATAGCGTGAAGAGCGTGCATATACGCCCTTAGCGTAGCGAAAGGGTTAAACCTGGCCTCTGTAAACCGCGTAAACACGAAAGTCGCGAAGAGTGGCTGTTGTGACCGCGTGGATACTTTGTTTTACCGTTTGACGTCGTGCGTTTCTTGTTTTCTCCTTTTATCTCTCGTTTGTTTAACGTTGCGTTGCTTGTCGTTGCTAATCGATATTTTACGAATGGAAATCTCTCGCGAGAAGCACAATTTTTCTGCGTGATGTTCTCTCTCTTCCATACACTTCGTCGCACTGTTGGACTGTGACGCAACACGCGTGTAAATAAAGGCAAAATTAATCAACGACAGTGAAAAATTACTCGCCCCGCTTTAAAAAAAGAAAAGAAAAAGGAACGTCTAAAACGATCAATCGAAGTGGCAGTAGTACCTGAAAGCACTCCCAACACTGTAGAAAAGTGTGTCTCTGTGTGATTTAACCCTTTTCTTTTTAATCCGACGACGTGAAACTTATCTCTCGATGTTCGCGCGAGAAGTATCAATTTGTCTCACGTCGTCGGTGTGTGTGTTTTTCTTTTAGTTGAACTCGCGATGATAAAGAGCATGCAATTTTTCTATATTTTTTTTTTTCTCGCGAGCATGAAAAATTCGATCGATACCTTACGCAGCGGTGTTTGTGCACCTTCGAAGATCTAGAAACGGCCGTTTCCGATGCGTGTGTGCGTGCGTTTCTATCAACAGCCGTTTCACTCTTTTATCACACGTTCGATCCTTCTGAAAGTTCACTCAACCTCTTCTTAATCTTCCACTCGATGAGATATTCCACGCGACAGAGCTGTGCTGTGCTGATCAACCGGAGGACACCTTCTCGGCTATGTCCGCGCCCCGGACGTCGCGCGATTTCATGCAACACAGATTCGAAATAACACCAGCCACTTTATATTAACCAGATTAACACCGTCGACACTGTGTCTCTGTCCTGTCGAATGGCTCGTCGGATACCGGACGAGCTTAACCGTACCGCGAGAGCAATAGAGCGAATCCGTACTCTGAATACTTGTTTCACGCGGGGAGAGCTTGTCTTCGATCAGTGCTGAGTGTAATTGAGTTTTTGCTCCAGAGAATTTTCACCTTTAACACTCGGTAGATTTTGTGACTGCAGATACTGGGCAACATGGAGCAACATTAAGACTTGTTAGCAAATAAAAAATGTAACATTGAAGTAGAAACAGAGGAGAGTAATAAACGATGTTTATTGGAAATATAGATTTTATAAATAGAAAATAAAGTCACAATTTATTATGATTACAAGTGTTTAACTTTTCTAATTTTTTTGAAATTTCTTGTTCTCGTAAAGTGCCCACCGAGGGTTAAAGGTTAAGAAATCTAGTTTTGACGGTGGATGCCGGGTCAAATGTGACCCAATGCTGAAATCTTTCGTACGCGAGCGAAGCTATTCTTCTTTTTACTTTACTAGGCGTTATATTGGTGAAAATTATAAAAATTCGTTATCAATACTGCAGCAAATATAATTGCAACATAAGGAGAGTCGTAACTCTGTTTCGAACGCCAACTAAAACAGGACAATTAAGGCCGGGTCAATAGTGACCCGGCATCCGCCATTGCGGAGGTTAAATAAATTTTGCGCAATAGTCCTTTTTTCTGTTAATTTCGAACAATTACCGAGCACTGAATATTGGAGCTCTTTTATTCGTAAATAACCAGCAGCGAGAAAACTTGCGGATACAGCAAGTGCTGTCCTTCTAACAAATTTGCCCATTTGTTTCGTTTATTCAATTCTTTTTATTCTCTAACCAAGATAATTAATTTCCGTTCAATTCTCAACATTCCAATAATTCCCTTCACCGTTCCCGAATGTCCGCGCGCCTGCGGCTTCTCAACGAGGCAGTCTCAAATGATTTTCTATTTTATTTCAGAAATAAAAGCAAGGAAAAAGCATGCAGGTAAGAAATAATCCGCATGGAACGAAACACTAATTAAGTGGAGCTAGTTTACTTAATGCATGCGTAGAGGCCAGTTCTATGGAGTAGTACGACAGTGTTTCAGTAGAATGGTTTCTTTCTTTTTTTTTTTTTTTTTTAAGTTTCT